TGTTTTCGTCTTCAGTGTATGATCCCTAGTGTTTCTTGCATATACTTAGACCTGTTGTATTTACTTTGATCTGTTCAGGCAACCTGTCTTTCTTCTTTCATTTAATGCTAACATTTATTATAAATGAATTTAAATAAGGAGGGACAATTTGGACTTTTATGGCTTTTCAGAGATATGTTGCATCACAGTTCTTAATTATAACAAGAAAAATAACATGGGAATTATTTTGCTAACAGCACATTCCTTTTGAAACTGCCTGCCTAATGCCTCTTAGAAAAAAATTATTTGCTTCCCAGAGCCACTTTCTGGGATGTTAGTTGAGTCCTGCAATTTGACTCTTTCTGCATCTTGCATGGGTTAACCAGCTTGTATCAGAAAGACAGATATTAGGGATTTTTTAATGCTGTATTCTATATCCTGTGAGAGATGAAGGATTCTATCTGAATGCTGTGTCAGATAAGAATATCAGTATTTTGTGGACTTTGGGGCACAATATTTCAAGAAGGATGAAGGTTATTGGACATACTCCAGCAGACAGCAGGAAGAATGATCAGAGGTGTAGAAAACACAGCATATGAAAAAAGTCTTCCAATCTTCAGGTTTAGTTGTTTAGTCTAAAGAAGAAAAAACTGAAAGGAAATTTGTAATAGCCTTCTAGTGTGTACAACTTTTCTGTAAAGAAGGAGAAAAACATTCCTCATGTCCACTGGGAGCAGAGCAAAAAAGTAGTAGGTTTAAATTACAACAAAGGAGATTTAGGTGAGACATTACGGGAAAAAGCCCTTTCCACTGTAAGGATAGTTAAGCACAAGAATTGCCTAGGGAGGTTATGAAGAGGTTAGACAAACATCTGTCAGAAATGATTTAGGTATAGCTAATCCTGCTGTGAGATAAAGTGTTGGACTAAATAACCTTTTGAGGTCCCTTCTAGCACTATTTTCTGTGATTCTGTGATTAGGGTACTGTACTCACATTGTCCTGAAGTAAGATGTTTCTGTGCAGGGATGGTATCACTGTATTCTGCATTGCATGCTTTGCTTTGTTTTTGCTTTAAGCTCATGGGGAGAACGATGGTCTAATGTTTAAAGCATTTTAGCTTTATTCTTAGTACCTCAGGAGCTTTGAGCAGGCCATTAGGAGCTTGTTTTCAGCCAGACAGCCCTGTTCTGTTTTAGCACTAAACATGTGCCAATAAGGGTTATCGGTACACACCTCAGAATTAGCGGCTTTTACTATTTCTTTTAACTTGCAGTCAAACACTTACATGAGTGGATGCTCAGTTTCTGCTTATAAGCGAAATGCAAACAGAAGAAAAAAATAGCCATGAAAAGAAATGTATCATAGCTTCCCCGTTAGTAAAACCAAAATAAAACCAGGCATGTTCTAAAGCTGAATATAACACAAGTTGTGAAACATCCTGGAACTGACAGATGGAGAATGATATTGAAGTGCCAGATATTATCATTATTATCTCATCAGAGAGACCATTGAAGGCGTCAGTTTAAGACTGTCCTTATCCTCTGTAACACTCAAACTCTTTAACTTTGTTCTTCCATTTGGCATTCTGCCATCCGGCAGGATTTGTATTCAGCTTTGCATTCGGAAGGAGTGTGTTCGCAATATTGCTTCTGCATACTGAATATGGCTCCAGCACTGCTACACATTGGTGGGTTTTGTAAAACTCCATCTGGAGGAACAAGGAATAGGAAGCTTCTGATTTTGAAGTAGTTTAAAAGAAATTGGTCATACTCTGCATGTAATGTTGACGGAGAGTGTGTCTGATTAATGCCACTGTTCCTGCAGAGATGAGGTCGTCACGGTGTTTGAAACAGGGGTGTGCGTACTGTCACGCCACAGCAGTGACCTGTGTGTGGTTTTCATGGGTGGGACTGTTCCTGAACCCAACAGGGAAGATGAGACAGTTCTTGGTTTGTTGATCTTTTAGGAGCCTGAAGGTTCACCATCACAGTGTAATCTCATAGCTTTTCACAGTTACGTGCTTAGCTGCCCATTCTTACTCAAGGAATGAGCAGTTTCCGTTTTCTTAGACAATCCCACTTTTTCACTAGGAGGGGGCAGGATGGAGGAAGGTAGGCTCTGTGGTGTGTGGCAGAGAGGTGAGCCAGAAACTTTATCTGCAGACGTGGATCCTCCTTGCTGAGGGCACAGCTCTGTGCGATGGACTTACACTGCCATGTGCTCTGCAGGCAGGTCCCTTAGGTGAGGGTTTCTGGCTTACCGCTTAAAAGGGAACATGTACTGTTAAACAGACTTACTTGCTGCTTTACACCTGGTTTTGTAAAGGTAGCCTGCTATTCATCTGATTTAAAAATTCAGAAGACAAGCTGAATTCCTGTGGAGAAAAAAAAAAAAAACAAAAAAAAAACCCCTGCCTTTTTTTTTCTACTGCACTACCTCATTTGCAGTCCTCAGAATTTCACTACTGAAGCGTTCTCTTGCAAAATTTTTATATATATATATATATATATACACACATATATATACACATGTGTTTTGTATGGGGGTACATCCAGTACCTTCCAGTTGGTGTCGTGTTATCTGAAAACACAGTGTATGTTCAGCACCGGAGCTAAAAGTGAATCACAGACTGTTTAAAAATATATGTTGTTTAAAGACGACAAACACAGAACATTCTGCAGTATCTATCTGATAATATTTGAAGCTCATATGAAGAGTTTTTAATAAAGGAGACATCATTTGAATAATAGCAATTGTATTATATTTTAGTTGGGGAAAAGTAATTAAAATTATAACCTTTGCCCTGCTTTCAGAGGCAGATGCTTTGCAAGTTCATTCAAACTAAGAGTTGTTGGGAGTTTCAAAGAGTGCTTGTTTCCTTCCTAGAGTTCACAAAATCATTAGGATGCGTATTCTTATTAAAAAGCGGTCGTGCTTTTCCAGCCTTCCATGCGGTGGTTTATTCCCAGCCCCGGTCCTGCACCACGAGGTGCTGCCCCGCAAGTGGGCTCAGCCCCTGCAGGGCGGTGGGCTCCCCAGGGAGGGCACACACCCACGCTGAGGGTCGAGCACTGCAGACAGAGTGAAGGGAAGGCTTTTGGAAGGGTTCTGCCTCCCTCTCCCCAGCACGCAAGGGACCACGTGGGTTTCCATCCCCTGCCCGCTCACCCCGCGCTGGCCAAGGGGGCCTGGGGCAGCCCACGCTCCCTCTCCCCCATCCAGCTTCGTGGACACAACTGTTCTGATACGGGTTGTCTGCCAGAGACAGAGATAATGATAGCTTTCAAGGCTAATGTGTTTGGCGAGGAGGGGAGCTGATACTGGAGGGGAGGGAACAAGAAGTCAGTAGCAGTCTTTAAAAATATAAATGTCTGCCAGGATTCAAATTTCAGCCTTCAATTGACTTCATACACTGCGCTGTCTCTGCTCCTCTCCTCCCGTGCTTTAGTAGTCATTAAATGAACTTGAACATGTTTGTATCGATAACCCTTTTTTACCAAAAGCAATTAATTTCTAAAGCAATATAAATACAGGTATAATTGTGATGTCACGTTGTCAGAAGCCATTTCAAATACTTTTCAGAGACACACGTACATGTAAAGTGGTAAGTATGCCATAACTAATGGTATTATTAGTTTGATTTACTGCCAGCCAGTCAGCTTTACAAAAATCAATCCCCAAGCTCATAAAGTATCTCCCTAAAATTGATAAATTTTTGCACTATCAATAATAAGAGAAAAGGTGAAGTTACAGGTTTATCTTTTCTTTTTCTGTGCGCTACTGGTTGAAAGGTATCTTACAGATTGCTGTGATATATAGGAGTGTGTGGATGAGACAGGTTATAGAAGTCACGAGTGATAAAAAGTTTTAAAAAAAAATCTGAGTGATCTTTAGACAATTCAGATGACATGTCTAACAAAGACTGTCAGTAGAATAAATGTGGTTATGTTAATATATTGAACCATTAACACATGTCCTTATCATAATGGAACTTACACAATGGTAGTTCCTGTCAGATTCCACTCAATACGTACAGCATGTTTGTCTGATGCACAGAAGGACAGCTATATCTATTTCATTTCAGCTCTGAATTGACACTTCAATTTTAAATCACCCACAGAACACCTTAGCTTAAATTTGAGCTTCTCCCTGATACTCTTTGCTATTTGTCATGTTTCCGTATGAGTATACTGAAAAGATGTTACAGGCAATCTGCTGTAGTGTGTGTATGGTGCATTTGACCTCTGGACAAGAAAGGAGTTTCATCCTCCAGTGCTTTTAATTCTTATCCTTACAGAGACTGAATTTGTTGCTTGCATTAAAATAGTATGTCTCGTTAATGCTAAGAAGCGGTGACCCACATAGCACAATGGATTCATTTGTCAATCCCGCGACTTCCAAGCTTTCCGTTCATATATGTCTTAGCAGCAAATCAACTCAGAAATCATTTAATCAGTCTATCAATGCATCCTTCTTGTCAGTCATATGAATCCTGAAAATTCCAGTATCTCATTGGACAGCACCAGGCAAAATAGATTTGGACCTAATACTAGATATTCAAACTCTGAAAACTGCAACTCCAAAATTCACAGCTCACACACACAAAAATCCAAAGGAAAAAAAGTAGGATCTGGAAATTGTCTTGAATTTTGAGGATATTCATGTTCTGATCCGGTTCTGAACTGCAGAGTGCAAACCTGTCCCTGTTCGTTAGCATTTCTGAAATACTCTACATGCAGTTACAGAAAGCAGTGCCCTTTTGTTCCCCTTTATAAAGAAACAAGCTTTCATTGCTTTTTGCTATTCCCATGGGCTGAGGCTAGAGCCTGCATAGTTTATAACAGTCAGTGTTATGCAAATGTCGATCATATCCTTACTCTGTTTATTTCCAGTATTTACATGTTTATTTAAGTACTTGCCATTTCTTTTAAGCCTTATATAGCCGATCAGGCCAACCGAGGTCTAAAGGAACAGAACACTTTATTAGTGATATGCTTAATACAGTTTTTTTCCTCTTGTAGATGCAAGATTTACGGAATACAGAAGGAGCCCAGTATAGTTCCCATCCTCAGATGGCAACCATGAGGCCAAGGGTTCAACCTGCAGATGTTAGGCAGCCAGGAATGATGCAGCACGGGCAGCTGACTACTATTAACCAGTCCCAGCTCAGTGCACAGCTTGGTTTGAATATGGGTGGAAACAGTGTTCCTCACAACTCGCCCTCTCCACCTGGAAGCAAATCTGCAACTCCTTCACCATCCAGTTCAGTCCATGAAGATGAAGGAGAAGATAGCTCTAAGGTAGGCTTAGATGCTAGGATTACTATGTAAATGGCGGATATTTTTAGGACCTGCTAAATGGATCGTATGGCCACAGTTATTAAGGTGATACTTTATACATTGTTGGTGGTTGACCTGAAGTGAATGAACAGTTATGAATACAGAACTTGTATTCCAGTCAATTCTTCAGGCAGTGTGAGTAAATGACATCATTCCTCTTCGTGAGAGCAAACTGGAAGCCTGTAAAACACTCAAAGGATAGCCATTCCTTTAGGACTTTAATATAAAGGTTGAGTTTTCTCACTTGCATAGAAGGGATGTTTGTTCCTAGTTAGAGATCAAGTTACTGCTATAAAAAGTATGAACAGCCTGTACAATATGCTAGTCTTTGCTACTTGGTCACAGGATGAGTAAACAGAACATCATAGCAACCAGAACAGAAAGTTCCTCTATGAACTTTAAAAATCTTACCTTGAAAAGCTTGAAGACCCATTATGCATTTATCCTTTGGGAGGTGCCAACTCCATCATGACATACTTAAGCTTCATTTTAGTGTCAGTACAGGCATGAAGTCATAATAGTCATTTACATATTAAATTTTTTTAAAGCATAAATGTTAATTTATATAGCAGGTTCTGCATGCAAAAACTTCCCAAACCTCCCAAAAATACACAAGTATAAAGGATAAATGTTAATTTATATAGCAGGTTTTGCATACAAAAACCTCCCAAACCTCACAAAATCCAGCAAACCTCCCCAAATACACACTTAATTTTGCAGACACAAAAGCTGATACACAAAAAGGTTGGGTCTTGGCACAAAGTCATCCCATAAACCAGGAACAGAGCATGTTGAAATTGAGAACTTCTTTAGCTCTATTTTATGGTCGCTACAAAATAGCAGTCCTGTAGTGTAGTGTGTACCATGTAGTGTACCATGGCCATGTCTTGTGGGGAAAAGTTGCAGACTTGCGAGGAATGTGAAGAAAACGTATTGTGAGACACTGAGGAGGTATAATCCGGTCAAGAAATGTAAGTCTGATTTGTTTTCAAATTATATTGTTTTTCATGCCTCAAGCTATAAAATAATCATGTAATTGGAGACATATGTTTTACTACATTTTGAATAAATTCTGATTCAAAAGTTTTATTTCAGGACTTTCCCCTGATTTCACAAACTTTAGGTTTTAAAAATTGCTGAATAATTCATACATTTTAAATGAGCGCTTCCTTACTGAGGGAGACATTAGAATGCAGCTATGTAAAAATAATTCCAGGCAGCCTTTACTTTTTCAGAATAATTTATTTGCTACTCTTGTTGCTTTGCTAATGTTTTTACATATATTGGTGGGAGTGTGCAAGATGCTCTAAAGTTCTGGAGAAAAGATCCACTCAAATAGTTAAGATATCCTTTCTGCTTCTATCAAATATTTCAGTTATTTAACCCATATTTTTCATGTAGTTTTTCACTGCAACACTTTGTGCTAGCAAAAGTGAGGGTTATGCTTTCATGCAGAGAGTACTCATCTGAAGCTAATGTTTTCAATAAAGAAATACTAAGCACTGCAGACCAAGTAAAACTTGGTCCTTTCTTGGTGGAAGCCAGTTTATATAGCGTTCAACTTTTTAACAAGCCATGTTATTTTGGAACACTCTCTTTAAAATTCTCTCATGCTCAGTCTAAGCAGAAAAAGGTGAGAAAAGGCACAACACATAACACGAAATTAAATTTGGTATGCTGAAGTTGATGCATTGCCTTAAAGTTCAATAATTATAATTTCTCTTCTAAGAGAAAAGTTTTAAAGGATATTAAATTTAGTTCATAATGACAGAGGGCTTAAATTTGTCTCTGACTAGTAGGGTTTTAACTGCAAGCTTGATGGGGGGCAGATTGTGCCATTCCTGTCTTCTGTGGGATTTCTTAGGTCTTTGTGAAAACGCCTGAATCTGGCCACCATCAGAGATGGGCAGTGGGCTGGCATGCCTGATCCGATGCAATGGTTCTGCTGTAGTTCCCTCCGTAAAAGACAAGAGGGCTTGAATTATTGGCGAAAGAAGTTAGTGTATTGTAGTTTATGATTTAAACCCCTCCGCTGTATATCTTTCTGTCACGTTGCTCTTGGAAGCTGCCAATGAATGGATACAGATACTTAGAATAAACCAGCTTTCTGTGAAGATCTTTCTCTCCAGCCACAACAGTATTACACTTTCTAAGAGCTGCTTCTGAGCGGCCTGAGAGAGGTCTTCTCATTCCAGAAATCCTCCTCCCAGTGAAAGGCGGCACTGGATGGGGACAGGAAGAGATAGAGCAGTCGTTCTCTCTCTTGTGAGAACCTCCATCTTTTGCCTGAATATAACTTTGCTAAATTTGGAGTTTTCTCTTTGTTTTATAAACTACCATAGAGATGTGTGGTATTACCTCATAGATCAGGGCCAGAGCTCATTAGTCAGTCCTTCAGTAGAAGCCCACGTGTTGCAGTCATGTAGTAGCTGCTGGAGCTCGCCACATTGGAGCAGCTTCATGAAGTCAGTAAGATGTTCCTGCCATGAGGACCATGTAAAAAACAACTGAATTCACTGTATTGTTAACAGCAACAGTGATGTTCTCCCTGTTTCACTAGCATGAGAAGATTTTTGCCTATGTACCAACACTGGTGAAAAAGAAAAAGTACATTTTCAAATTTCAAATGGTGGGAGGAAAACCACCTCCGTGTTGGATGACCTCCCTTGATTTATACCAGCTGAACACCCAGCCTTACATGTGAAAGAGAAGCCACTGGTCCTTTGATAGCAGATTTGGTAGAGAAATCCCTAACAACTATACCTATGTCTATCTAGAGAAAAAAATACAGAAATCTCAGTGTCCCGTTCATGTTTGCATGAATTTATAAAAAGAGGATGATGGAAAGTATGAACAAATATGTACATTATATACATTTGGACTAGAAATATAATTGTATCCCTAGTGAACCACTGATTTCCATGCATGGAGGAAATGACCATTTCAGCTTAATGTACATATTCCAAATGCCAGTAATAAGGAAACTTTACAAACTGTTGTAATTGTTCATGTACTGAGCTTCATGGATGTTCATTCTAAGGTAAATATTCAAATTGTTGTGAGCCTTATCCAACATACACAGAACTAATGGCAGCAGCTGCTAAATATTTTTTGGCAATACTCATTCTCATAAAGGCTCTTTCATATAGGCCTTTTGGACTTTAAACGTCATATATTCCCTTGCAAAAAAGGGAAAGGAGCTGCCTTATAGAGGGCTCAGTTGCCCTACACACTGCTGCTCTAAAACCAAGACAGCTGAGGTTGCTTGACCATAAGATCAGTGACAACAGTAGAATAATTAAAAGGCTATGTATATACAGTCAGAAAGCTGCTAGGTCCATGGAAATACGAAATGTAGTCTCAGACCAAGGATACTGTTTCTGCAAGTGGTGTACATCCCTAAGTCTCCTTAATTCTTCTAGATCTACTATGGTTAGAAGATAAAAAGAGGGAGAATTTAAAAAGCAGTAGTTGTAAGTAACTATAAAAACATTCTAAACAAAGTGACCACTTACCACATGCTTTATTCTGACCACTTCAACGCTGGAATATTACATTTATGTAATTCTTGCCATAATTCATACTGTTGGATCATTAAACATGTATTTGGTTATTGCCAAGCATAATTGTGAGCTACTGGAAGCACTACTGGTTCGCAAATATGTATTTCTTCATAGATGGATAATGGGGTTTTCTTCCATGCTCATTTGAATATCACTTATGAGAGAATCTCAAATAATGTATTTTAGAGGGAAGATAGTGAGAGGACTGCAAGTAGCAAGAATTAACTAACAGAAACACAATTACGAAAGAACTGCTGCAGCATATTCTCTTTATGTGGTAGAGGTTTTACAATATTTACTTTATATGATAAGAGTTATAAGTAGATTTCTATGTTGTCTGTTCAGCCTATTATGCAGATGGTGCTTGATTAAAATCTATTTTAAACTACAGCGATTACTGCAAGATAGTGTGCATAAAACAGCTCTCCTAGCTCCATTAAAGGCTTTGGTACTATTGCAGTTTATTTTAAATATGCTTATAGACATTTTCCAGCTTCTCAAGGGACATTTAGATATCAACGATGTGCCTTACTTGATAGTTTTAAATCCTACACTAGATATTCTTGTGATCTATTATGTGTGCAACATGGTTAATGTACACTTTTTTAAAGTGAAAGATTATTGCTTTCTTGTGATAAATAAGTTAAATACATCACCATAATTAAGCAATAAGCCATGACAGGAGGTGGATTACCATGAGCTAACTACATCTCCAGGGATTTTGAGGCACAAGTCTATGCCTAGCAGAATATATATGGTTTTTATTTTATTTCCCATCTGTCTCTGCTTTGGTGGTTAGAAGTGGAGTCTATGAAGCTGATAGACTGATGGGAGCATAAGGTAGGCCATCATCTCAGCCATTTGCAAGGTTATTAGTACTGGAATTCTGGTATTCTTTTTATTTCATTATTTTCATATAAGACAAACAGAATTTCCCCTGTGAGTACTCCCTTTTTAACAGTGGGGTTTTGAAGTCTCTTGATCATTCAGGTTGGAGAATAAGATTTTAGAGCTGTTCTCAGAACAGCTTACCAGATGACATTTTACACAGGTTTCTGCAGCATATCACCTAGTTTAAGAGTAGTTTAAGTAATGTGGTTTCCTAATATACAGAGAACTTTTAAATCTCATTGGTCCAAAAATACTCTGAAAAGAGGAAAGCTTTAGCAAATAATAGAGGTAAAATTTTAAGTATAGCCCAAATTATTGTCAAGCCTCCTTGCTCATAGATTTTGCACAGAACTGTCTGAAGAGTTTAGACTGATATTGCCGAATTAACTAGGGAGCCCTAGTTAATTACCATTCAGCTGGTAGTTTTGTGTACCCTGTAGAATGAAATAATAGCAAGAGACTAAAAGTTGGATAACTTAATAATGGGTAGCACCCTGCTTCTGTTTTTCCATATTTTCCGAATGCTGCCAATAGGCTCCATGTCCATTAACCTTGTATTAAAGATATATCTATTGTAACATAATGCTCAGGAAACAAGGAACTTCGTTTTCAAACTGTGGTCGTCACTTTGATGCTGTGTTTAGTAAGCCACAGAGATCCAGGTTGTTCACTGTAGTCACCTGGGCCCTGTTGGACACCACACAGTGATGTATATAGAAAAATGAAAAAGTTTTTTGCTCAAAATGAGAATTTCCAGCCATTTTCTTCATGCAGTTCCACTGATTTGAACACCTGTGTTCTCCTGTGTCACTTGATATGCATTATTAAAAAATAATGATACAAGGATGTGATAAAAGTCATGCCTAGTAAATCCTTAGCCTAGAGCATACCTTTTATGCTCTTGATCTTCTTGTACTTCAAAATGCTTATGATGCGCAGTACTCTGGCCATGCCAACAAGAGAAAAAAGCCTTTGAACCCTCTGGTAAGATCACACATCATTGCTACAGATATAGTGAATTAAGTGATCATATCAAGAGAAGCTGCTTTGACACGGAGCTCCAATCTGTTGAAGAATCAGGACAGTGTCCCTTTATGTGCTTGTAAGTCACCTAGGAAAGTAGGGTGCTTTGGTGATCAGGGTCTCTGAGCTATTCAGTGGCAAAGCATAGTTGCATTGAAAAAAATTGCACAAATGCTCATGTGCAGTTTTTTTCAGGTGGTACACAAATAACGCACATGCACTTTTCTTTATATACTCTTTCACTCCTTTCCTCAAACTATTTGCTTTTACATGAGCAGAAGGAAAAACTATGCAGCTAAATCCAGATGGACCAGAAATGATACTCCAAAGCGGTGTAAACTGTGTGTACTAGTAAAGCTTTGTTTCTTTGGATTTTAATTAAAAGGTGTGCAGGGGAATGTCTATAATTTGAATCATTTTATTCACGATCAGATTCTCTTCAAATTCCCTGAAAGGTGTCCCACCAGCTGCAGTAGAAATTGATTTGAACACTAGTCTGGAGTAGTTCTAGGAAAGGGTGAGGATAAGGAAAAGGGAGAAATGACAGTGTTCCTGCTGTCTGCAGGTAGTTCATGTGGTTGAACTGGTCGTCAGGCTATAATGAAGCTAATTTCATTTGAATTTACTCATTATATGCATGTTATAGCCATTAGCAATAAAACTTACAAGAGGTGAAAAGATGACCAGATGAACTATAAATAAGATTATAACAATTAAATGAAAGCAAAATATAAAGCACTTTGAGGGGAAAAAGTTACATAATCTGGAATACTTATGAATTTTATACATGTGACTAAGTCAGATGGTGTCAACATTTGGATTATCAAAGACGGCAACTAAAATTCCATTTTTTCATGCAAAATTCAAAATCTCTGCCTATCACAGAAGCAATAATGATGGGTGGACTGAAGTAAATTAGCTTTTTTTATAGTACTTCTCTAATTTTATGTTACAGGTCAATGGTGGAGAGAAGAGACCTGCTTCAGATATGGGAAAGAAACCCAAAACTCCCAAAAAGAAGAAGAAGAAGGACCCAAATGAGCCACAGAAGCCTGTGTCTGCCTATGCATTATTCTTTCGAGACACTCAAGCAGCCATCAAGGGCCAAAACCCCAATGCTACTTTTGGTGAAGTCTCTAAAATTGTAGCTTCAATGTGGGACGGCTTAGGAGAAGAACAAAAACAGGTACAAAATGTGCTGTAGCTCAGAGGCTTTGTTTCAGGAAAGTGTTATCATCAGGGTCATCTAAACACTGTAGGCAGTTTCTTTTGTTTGCTGGGATGAAACTTGAATATGTGCCATCTCAGGAATATGATTTAAAGAGACTGAGATAAGGAGAGTATTGTTTCATTTCTTCTCTATGAAACCACTAGAAGAGATATTTTTTTAGTTTTGGGGTGTGACACAAGCTTTAGGATTATATTTAGGATAGTTTTATACTGAAATTGGGGGGCCTAATATTTTTTGATGGCATTGTCCTGTCTATGACACTGTGGTGTAGGAGGACCTTGCTGCCAGCAATTGTATCTGTGCAGTGGGACCTGACATATATCCAAGCTCCTAGTTGCAGGTGTTTCCATGCCCCATGATGCCAGAAGGGGAGCTGGGCTCACTTCTTCTCCCAACTCACCTGGCTTTGATGAGAGGAATTACAGATGTGTTGACCCAAAGAGACATAGGGTGGACGCTGGCAAATCAACAGTGTTCTGGGGTATCCTCCAGCATACATGTGGGCTGTGGCAATCACATCTCATAGTTAACTTCCATCTTCTGTGGAAAGGCCTTGATTCTGCAACAAGGTTGGCAGAGCTGGATCTGAACCTTTAAAGAATTTCTTCCGAGTCAGTTGGACGCCATGTAAAAGTAGGCAACTCTGGAAGCTCATCCCATTCATGTGGTGACAGTTGGCAAATACCATTCATCCTTGTTGTAGCAAACCATTGCTTTTCTGTTGTTATTGGTTGCATTTTTACTAACTGCCAACAGATTGGATTGGGCAGATAAAGAAATGGGAGCTTTAAGAAAGAAACAGATATGGAGGGAAAGGATATGCTCAGTAAGAGTTATACTGGCTGCAGGAGACCTGGGTGGGGGTTGATGTCCACACAGAGAGAGGAAAAGTACTGGGACAAAACTGCATCTCATTCATTCACACTGAGCATATAATTATTACACAATTATACTTAATAAGGGTAAGAATTAAAAGGAAAATATTGCTATGAGTTTTTGGTAGGTAAACTCATTTGGACTAGGAAAAAAAGGTTTTCTTTGCTAATAACTGGGTGGTGTAGGTACATCTAGATCCCTGTTAAAGATAACAATGTAATAGAAATCAAGATTTGGCACTCATTGACTAACTGAAAAAAAACAACAGCTTATTCTGTCTAGTATCCACTGTTGAATAAGGTCAGCATTTGGAAGGTTTAGCTGGAGGAAAGGTAACTTTCTGAACACAGGGGTCAGAGAATTCACTTGGCTTGGCACATTAAGGTTATTTTGTTTTGTTGTCTCTTCCTTCTGCCTTTTTTAATATGTCCAACAAAGGCCAAGGTTACATCCTTGGTCTGACAGGTTGTTTAGAGCTTCCCAGTACAGCAGTTCTCTCACAGTCAAACATTAGGTTTTGGGACCATGATGATGAATGTTCACTTTTGACTCAGAAAAAATACTGGCTATGTTTTTAGTTAAGTTCACAAGCAAGAGGTTTTGATGCCATTCCTCCTTGTCCCACATACCTGCCAGCCAGCAGGAGGGACAGTGCTGAGCCGCACCAGGAGTAGCCACTGCTCAGCAGACTGCCCAAACGTGCAAGAAGCAGCCTGCTGTCCCTGCTGTGCTCGGCCAGGACCTCTGGCCAAAGCTGAGAAACTGTAGACTGTGGTATCTGGCTTAAATTCATTCCTACTCCAAAGAAAGGTCCTTGCCCAGAATCACTCCCTGTGTTGAAATCTGGACATCCAAACACATACCTCAGGAGTGCTGCAAGTAGTTAGATCTGTATCTTGGACCCATCTTGCTTGCCTGTTGGATTGTGGATCCAAATTTTCCTGAAATGGTGAAAGGCAGAGACCTGGACTTCTCAAGAGCCTGCCTCTCTAGTTAATCTTACATCCCTCTAGTGATGACATCAAGCAAAAATTATTTATTTACCCGGATCTAGTGCTTGGTTTTCTCCACCATTTTTCATAATGACCTTTAATTTGTGGCTGTTGCAGTGTTGCAGTTTTTCCTTCCATAATATTTGCTCCACTTACAACGCAGAAGACTTGACTTCATGAATAATGTTCCAAGACCATATAATGGAAATAAACCTAAAAGACTCTAGAATGCACGTTTCCTTTGAGCTTATCATGTTAGTAGTGCCAGCAGAAAATTGAAGTATTTCCATAGAATTCTGTTTAAGAAAAGTGCATAAACCCCTAAATTTCCAGCTTTAACTTGGATCTCCTGTTTGTGGTTGAAAGCAATAATTAAATAAGTCCTACACTGGAACAGCAGAATAAAATTTATGTTCATTATCTCTGTTGTCCTTAATTTAAGTTGGAACCCATCAGAATGATGTGTTTTGGAATCCACATGACACATCCATGAAAAAATGGCTGCAACTAGACTTTTAAGCCACATTATTCCAAGAGTTTGGGTTAGCATATCTTTGTTGCCCTTTGACTCATTTTGCCTATTCATTATCATCTATTAAGCACATTGTTAAAACTCCAGGCCCAGGCCCTTTCTAATCTAGCACTGTACAAAAAGAATAAAAGATAGTCCCTATTTAAAAAAATTGGCAATCCTATTTTCTAGAATAAATTTAAACTCATTCTTTATTCCATTAGGGATCTAATAGTACAAAGTAATGATTACAAGACATCTTAACTGACTAGATAGTCTGTATTTTAAAGGCCTAATTTTTCAGATCCAGAGCATTAGTAACTGTTATGAAACCCATGTCTCTGCTAGGAAAATTGGACTCTAAAAATACAAATGATTAATGTAGCATTTGGTATTTGGCATTGAAGAAGCTTCAGAAATTCAAAAATAGTTAAATAAAGAAACAATAACATCATTAGAGGAATACTTTATTGATGAATTATACTTGCTGAAAGGATTCAATTATCATAAAGCTTCTGGCTTTTATGTTTTGGAAGCTAATGCTTATTCTGGAATTCAAATAGAATTATGTTTCCAAATTATGTTTCCTGAATTGGAACTCCTTTTACTATTTAAATAGTAAATATAAATGAATCAGAAAGTAGAACATAATGCAGCTATTGAGAAAGAAGAATAACCTCATGTTTTCATGCCAAAATGAAATCTTCTTTGTTCCTACGACCTGAGCCAGCTTTTTCTGAAATGCATAGAATTCTTCTTGTTTATTCCTGAAGATTGACCACAGAATAAATAACGGTATTGAAACTCAGTACAGTAACAACCTAAGGGCAGTATATGCATGTCCAAGCCTTTGCAACAAAATTTTGATAACCTGACATATTAGACTGTAGCTTGAAAGGTTTTGTGCAAGAACCACGTATGTTTTTCAAACTGTGAAGAAACTAGGAAAATGTTGTTTGAGAAAATAGGATTTGAATGACAAAAAAGGAAGCGTTATTATGAACTAGACGACAGTGGGTGCCTTACTGAAGTTGGCAGGGAGTTATAGTTAAAATGGATCACACTCTGATGCTGTTACCCTGAGAATATTGCAATTTATTAGATTAAAGCAGATACTGGTGTACTTCCACTCTCATGTTACGATATGAAGACATTTGCATTTTAGGATCATATGCTGTAACTATTCCCATTAATTTCAGAGTAGAAAGGCCATTTCCAAACAATGCTGGTGTGTGTGCCTGTGTTTTGTTTGTCCAAACCTATCTACACAGAGGAGTCTAGAAATTAAAAGGACTTCAGTGATCATGGTGGACTTCGTCATGGTTTCTTTTCAAATTCTGAATTGGGGACAATAATTACACATGATCAGAAGCAGGGACTCTGCATTTTCCTTCATTTTTCACTGTAAATGTTTTCTGAAACTGTTCAGATTAATAAACCTGTGAATGGAAAGCAGCTGTAGCAGTAGTATGTTGAGGTACATTCTCCTCAGTGCTGTAGCCATAGCACAGGGATGTTTTCAGTGCCTTTTCTAGTTCCTCTCTTATGATCACAAACACTGTTTTCTCCTTAGTCAGTACTACACTTCTGTGCATCCCATTTTTGTAGCTTATTTATGTACATCTTTGCCCTTTGCACACATTTTTACTGCAAAGGGGAGAAAAACACCCCCCAGGAAAGAGGGTTCAGCATGCTAAATGGTCAAGTCTCTGGCTTTCAGACAGAATGCTGGTTCAAATTGGGTAAAAAGGCTACTTAGGTCATTTTCTGTCCTTAAATGAAAAAGGAAAGTCATTTTAAATCAGTACCAGATGTGTGTGTACTAAATGAACCTTAAGTTTCTAATTGGAGTCCTAGTAAAGCTGTAATAGATGTGGCAAATTACAAACAAAATGTTCTTGTTTACATTAGTGTAACTTTAAAACTTCAGCCAAAGACCTTAATAAATGTGCTATTATTCTAAAAATGGAATTGAATGTCTATTCAACATTCAACAGAATTAATCTCTGGTGTAACTTCAGTGACTTAACTGGAATTCTAGCAGGAATGAATTTGGCCTCCTATGAACAGCTTAGTGTGCATACATACATATGTGTGTGTGTGTGTTTACTTAAATGTTGAACTGGCCTTGCAGCGGGAAGAAGGATGGATTCACCTAGGGGACCCAAAACTTAATGATCAGAAGAAGCAGGTGAAGTGACTGTTTGAGTGCTGTAACATATGCTTTCTTTCAGGCTGCATAATTCATATGCAGTAATATTAGCTGCAACAGTTCAGCTCAATAGCAACACCTCATTATTTCATCCCTCAGTATTTATTCCTATGTTTGACGCCTCATGAAATTACTGTTAATGTGTTTATATAAGGGCAGATCTGACACAAGTGGGAAGAATTTAATTTCCCACTCATTCTTTCCTGCTGATGTGTCCTCTTCCCTGGTAGAAGTGGCAAGTGTAAATAGTTAATTTGCTTCAATTATGAGCCTGTCCTGCTAAATTAGAAGCAGCAGGAATATGAAGAGCCAGAATTACACTTATGAGGCAGCTGACAAATCCTTGGAGCTCACAAAATCAAAT